CACATACCGACTAACCCGCTTCCTGCACAGGTGTGGCCCTTCTCCAGTGCCCGGCACCTCATTGCTATGGTAACGGAAGACACGCTGATCATCGGATTTTGCCTCCGAGACGGGCTGTACAAGCTGCTTTCCTGGGGTAGCTTGTCCTTTTGCAGTTAACCGAGATGTCTGGGGAGAAGAGCTTCCCCTAACAGGATGGCAGGCGATGCTTCCAGATGCGGTCACTTGGCAGGTCTGAGCCGAATGTCTCCATAAAAATATGATGTAATTAACAGAGCCGCAGCAGCTGGAACAATTCAGTACCTCACATTGATTTTCCATGTCTCCTATTTACTTTCAGATCTGCAGTGACAGGAAATCAAAGAATTATAATGGTGTGTGTGAGGGCCCGATGCTGGGTCGGCATTTCCTTGAGAAATCCTGAGATTAATCCGTTTCCTATCACTCAGTCATCCCTTTTCACTTCTAAAGGAAAACTGTCCTCCAAAATGCTATGAAATAGCAGTCTATTTTTGGATATTAAAAAAATCAATCGTACTATTTTAAAATTTGTGAGGAGTGTTTTCAAAGTCAGCCCGAAGCAATGTTCACTTGTCTGTTTTCTCCTTCAAGTTTAATAGGAGTTGGCAAAGGCATTTGGGTATAGTGAGACACAAGTACTGTATTCACCCTTCCCAAGTTTTGTGGGCTTGGAAAAGTCACTTGGTGGAACCAAAGAGAGGAACTGCGTTCCAAGTTTTTCAGTCACTGAAATGAAGGAAAATAAGTTTCCCCAGATGTAGATATTCATCAGCCTTCATCTGAAGCTGGGTTGGTTTAATCATAGTTGGTCATTGTATTTCTAGCTCTGTCAGGTGAAAGTAGGAACTGGGTTAATTTCACTTTGGGTTTCTTAAAATGCTGGAGAAAATAGGCAGAAGGCTGCGGTTATCGTCTGAAGTCAGTTTGCTCCTGACTGCCTTTGAAGACATGCCTCAGAATTAAGTGGTCTTGCTTTCTTACCAGACTCTGTTGCCTTGGCAGATTCTGTGTCTTGGCCATACTGTAAGAACTCACTTTTCTTTGACTTTTTATTCATTCAAGCAATATAACCATTTCATAAATGATTAGGAAAATAGAGAAAAGAAGAAAATTGCCCATAATTTTACCTCTCAAACACAATAGGTATGATGGTTTTGGAGCAATTACTTTGGGTCATTTTCAAATGCCGAGTTTTGATATGATTCTAAGCATAATATACAAACAACTTTATGTATTGCTTTTTCCCTTAATATATGTCAGAAGCATTTCCCCGTATTATGATTAGTTTCAGTAAATATCTTTTTAATTGCTGCCCAAGCAGTTGGAACAATTCAGTCCCTCGTATTGACTTTCCATGTGTCCTATGGAAGTAGAGACACCGTATTAACTATTTCTGTATTTTGAGACAATGGATCAAATCCATTTTTCACTGTAATTAATCCCATAGTAAGTATCTTTATACATAAGCCTTTTCTACATATAAGATAATTTCTTTAGGATAAACCCCTAGAAATTACAGGGTGAAAGTGCATAAATATTTTATGACTCTTGATATTTCTTGTTGATCTTCAAAACTATTATGTGACTTTATATTATCACCTAAAATGTTCGAGGAATCATGCTTTATGAGGGTATTTTATTGACTAAATTTGCAGTACTGAGAGAGCTTTATGTGTGCAGTTTGATGATGCTGACAGATATCCCAGAGGTGAACATTTTTTAAAGATGTTCTCTTTATGTTTAACATACAGAAGTTAATGTTAATCACGATGCCTATTTTGTTTAACATACAGAAGTGACTTTATTAAAGCCATTTCTTCTAAATGTGCGATAAACTATGAATTCTTTGCCTGGTTCTAATGTTCTATCTCATAAAACCTCATAAAACTAATTAGCATCATACCCCCTCAGTTTGCCTGTGAATTTTGAAGATTATATGAATTTCTCTTCCATGTGAAATAGAATTTGGTGGGTATCCCTTTGCTGGGAATAACTCCTTTGGAAAATAGAAAAAATACTGAGCGGAAAGAAAGTAAATTTTCTGGGAAAAGAATAAGAACCCAGAGAGATGGAGTGAGAATTGTACCACAGAGTCCCAGCAGCAGATGTTTTGGGTGTTGAAACTCCCACCAGAACAGCTGCAGAAATGTAGAATCACATCTGGGTGTGTGACGCGGCTGCATCATTACCTATAGACAGCAAAACAGCCAGATGCTTCCAATTCATTTTAAGGACCAAACTTCAGGTCTGAACCTGTGAATGTCTCCACTTCCCGACCAACGACTTATCAATTGCCGAGACAGCTCATGAAAACGTTGCCTCGTGGGCACTTTAAGGACAAACCTCGGCTGCAGCAGGTAGAGGCAGAGTGCAGCTGCTGCACACCCGGCCCTGCAGCTCTAGCTCTGCTCTTGGGCTGGAGGATAAAGCCATTAAAGCCCTTCCACACAACGGTGGCTGCATGGCTTGTCACCGGTGTGTGAGGCTTCTGAGGGCACGTTCTGTTTAATGTCTGCTCTAGTTCTTCAAATTCTCCTCTCTCTCTCCCTCTTTTTCTCTTTCCTCTTTCGCAGTTTCCTCTCTCTCTCTCTCTCTCTCTCTCTCTCCCCGCTCTGTGTGTGTGTGTGTGTGTGTGTGTGTGTGTGTGTGTGAGAGAGAGAGAGAGAGAGATCGATCTTTCCTTCTCTCCAGTCTCCCAAATACAAGCTTCTCCCTAGGACGGCTGAACAAATGACTGGGGGATCATTATGGTAGTAAATGGTTCTTAAGACGTGGACACACACTGTGATTTTTGAGTGTGCAGCTATTGTGTCATTTCTCTTGCCTTACATGGATATGGAAGTCAGTAAAAGTGTCCTCTGGTGACAGGGCTCCGGCCTGCAGACAGGCTGATCACAGACTTCAGCAGCCTCCTCGTCTTTCTGACCCAGTACCAAAAGTGCAGGGCAGCTCACAGGCCGTGGGGGAAGATCATTCAGTAAATAGCTCTTAGCCCCAGGAGAAAAGTGTTGTTCAATGGGAAAGTCTCAGGAGAAAAAGGTTACTCAACTGTGTAAATCTCAACCCCTACTGATATTCAAGAGATAGGTTTCCTTTAGGAGTAGCCTGTGTACCCCTCTCCCTCCCCATGGAGTGAGCAGAAGCTGAGCAGAAACATTTGGTGAAAGATAACGCTGTCTTCAACCATCACACTTTCAATTTCCTGCAGGAAGTCACTTTGTTATTAGAAGTATTTTTATTGTGTCTAACAACCAAAATCATTAACGCAGAGATTGCAAATGGGAAGGCCAAGGAAGTTGTCTCCTCAGCCCAGCTGAGGCTTAGATCCATCTCTTCAATTGTCATTCAGAGTCCTGTGCATAACTCTCTCTTGAAGGAAGAATTGTAAAACATAATGGATCATAAAGAGGTTAAGATCCACCAAAGAATTATTTCTGGGGAGAGAGGACAATTTTACAGAGGATGAAATGGAAGCCAAAAGAGGTGAAATAGGTGGCCCAAAGTTTCAAAGTGGAGTCTGGCCCCAGATCCCAGGTAGTTGAGCACCGAGCTCCACTGTGTGTTTTTCATCACGCTGCCTTTTTATTGGGCAATACTGCACCAGGGTCAAGTAGGATATGGTTAACTTTAGAACTCTGGGTTTCTGGTAGGGAAGGTCATTGAATTTGAATGATGTTGGAAATAGATGCTCGGTACCACAAAGAAAAATTAGTACCGAGACAAGGGATCTCTCAGCAAGGCAATTTTTACTTCCTGCAGGAAGGGTACACTTGCTAGCCATCTTGCCACAAGAGTACAATGAACGAAGGAAAAGCAGACATATGTATCCCTTACGCATTTGGGACTGTCCTTACTGCTGTGTCTGATCTCTGTTGGTTGGAGCCAGACCTCACAATCTAAACTAAAACCCAATTAGCTAACAACTTAAAATTCTTCTAAACAGGTAAAAGCAATGGAGAACAAAAAGAAAGTCCAAATAAGAAAGGGGCAAAGGCTGCGAGTTGGTTAAAGTGCAATAGAATGTACTTAGTATGTACTACATGCCTGTAAACATGTTTAACAGCTACACAGGGCTTAACAAAGAGTTATTAACAAAAAAGCAAGAAGGATTTATTCTTTAACAAGAAAGGAAACTTTGAAGAGGAACTTTTCTACTTTCCACAAGTGACATGTTGAGTAAAAATGATCCTAGAGTTGAAGAAATGGACATGTTATTCATATCCATTGTGACCTATGCGAGGTGTCTCCTATTGAAACACTTCTTATTCAGCAATAATAATAATAATAAAGGAGTATTTATTGAGGTGTGGACCAATTGCTGTGGGAAGATGTATATCCTGCCATTAAGGTAATTATAATCTGGTAAGATTAGCAGAGATAAGAAGAATCATTAAATAATATTTAAGATGGTGGAAGCAGGGCTATGAAGGTTTGTCGATGTTTGGAGTCCTCAAGGGGATGAGTGTCTTGAAGCTTAGTGGGCAAGGAAACCCTTCAGCCAGTGAGATTTGGGGAAAGTGTGTGAGGGTGGGGGTGAGGGTCTGAATTTGGTAAGGGGCAAAGGACTCCAAATATAGAATAAAGGAGAAACAGTCCAGAGATTTGGAATTTGAGAAAAAGGGTAAAAATGAGAAATGATAAAGCATGTTGAGGGAGTGGCTACTTTGTGTAGTGTGTAAAGCAGAAAAGGCTGAAGAGAAGACTTGGAATCGGATTGCAGTAATCTTGATGACCCTAGTCCAGGAAAGTAGAAATGACAACACTGCTTGTCAGCTGTGGCACTGTCTGCTTTGATAATAAGTGGGCTTCCATTAAAACTCAGTGAGTGGCATGTTGACCAAAAGGACTAGAGCTTGAGTTTAAAGCCAATGAGTTACAAACCCTATGTGTTTTATGTTTTCACCACCCAGCACTTCTTTTGGCAACTCTATAGAAGATTGTCTTATATCCTGACTTTGTCTTCTGCAAAATTTCTGTAGCTACCTTCCCACTCACATGGAACAACCAGGAGGGACACACCAAACGATGCCACATGATGACCTCTGCCACCAAACACGTGTTCCTGAAGGAGCTAGTAGAGGATTATGACTAGCTCTTCACTGTGAAGAAAATACACACAAAATCAGAAGAAAATACACACAAAAGGAGATCTGATGAGACCTGACTCGAGGTACAGGTTGAACATTCAGTAGGGTGGCTTTTGTGGCACAAAGAGGAAGCCCTTTGGGCAGAACCTGAAGTGTTGTGAAATGGCACCCAGCCCTGTGGGGGAACCCGATAGAATGGCAGTGGCTGAGAACTTCTGTTCACAAGGCAGCTGCTGCTCCTCCAGCAGTATAATTTAGACATAGCTGAGTGTTCAGAGCTGGAATGGGCCATTCTCCGTATTTAGCACAACTCCTCATCTCAGTAAATGTCTTGACACTTAGGTAAGGTTGGGGAAGTCATCTGCCTGAGATCTCACTTTTGTTAGGGAATGGCTGTGAGCCCAATACCAAGGCAAGCTGTCTGCTTTGCTATCATTTCTTTTTGAAACGGAGTCTCACATGATCACCTGGGCTGGTGTGCAGTGGTGTGATCTTGGCTCACAGCACTTCGTCTCCTAGGTTCAAGCGATTCTCCTGCCTTACCCTTCCCAATAGCTAGGATTACAGATGCCTGCCACCATGCCTGGCTAATTTTTTGTATTTTTAGTAGAGATGGGGTTTCACTATGTTGGCCAGACTGGTCTTGAACTCCTGACCTCGTGATCCACCCACCTTGGCTTCCCAAAATGCTGGGATTACAGGCATGAGCCACTGTACCTGGCCTGCTATCACTTCTGCTACCATTTGAGGACTTAAGAACTTCCTCTTGCTGGGCCAAGTGGCTCATGCCTGTGATCCTAGTGCTTTGGCAGGCAGAGGTGGGAGGATCCTTTGAAGCCAGGAGTTCAAGACCAGCCTGGGCAATTAAGAGAGATCCTGGTCTCCACACACAAAAAAAGCAAAATATTATCTGAGCATGGTGGTGCACACCTGTAGTCCTAGCTACTCAGGAGGCTGAAACAGGAGGTTCGCTTGAGCCCAGGAGTTCAGGAGTTCAAGGCTGTGGCGAGCTGTGATCATGTCACTGCACTCCAGCCTGGACAACAGAGTGAGACCCTGTCTAAAAAAAAAGAACTTTACTTGGGGCCTGTCATTTTATTATTTCTTCTAGAACCTATCTTCTTAAGACTAAGGCAGCAATGTCTTTCTTATGGGCAATGTATCTTCATTGCTGAAGGTCTTAAGAATTATCAGATACAGTTTCAAACAGGCAAGTAGTTACTAAGAACAAATATAATTTGAAAGAGTTGAGGTACAGTTTAAGAAATAAAATTTAGATCCTGGATCTCCCACAGGGCTGGTGCATCCACCTGTATAACTCCAGGGGGCATGGGTTACATGGAGTTTGATGGGAATGGTGTCCCCTGCAGTTGGGCAATGCAAGGCTGGCTCATGACCATTGCAGGTTCATTTCTGCCAGACTCTCCCATCGTTAAGAACATTTATTTTCCTTAGTACCAATGTTATTTTTCTCTCAGTCCAAGCCAGAATCTTTCCTACATAATCTAAAAAGCATTTTCTTTCTGCCTGATTCCCCAATGCCCATCTTGTATTTCTGGCAAAACAGCACCTGTGCCTGGCTCAGCCTGGGTCTCCCTTCATGGTTTCTGGCATCAGCAGCAGGCTTCCTGCTTATTCCTGCAAACCTTACTTCCTGTCATTTTGCTGTCTGTCTGTCTCATTCTCTCTCTTGCTTATCTATTTCTTTATATTCATTTATTTGGTATTATTTTTATAGTTATTAAAGCCATCTATGTGGACATAAATTTTAACGATTTGGTCAGGTATGGTGGCTCATGTTTGTAATTCCAGTGCTTTGGGAGGCCAAGGCAGGAGATTGCTTGAGCCCAGGAGTTTGAGACTAAAGTGAGCTACAGTGATGCTGCAGTACTCAAGCCTGGGTGGCAGAGCAAGATCCTGTCTCACAAACAAACAAACAAACAAACCCATTCAACACAAGTTCATGATCCAATTGATCAGTTAAAGGTTTAAAATCAGACCTAGAAAAACCCTAGTTTCACTTTCTCCACCCCCATTTTCTCTCCATTCATTGCTAGCTCCTTCTAGAGCTTTTAGTTTTTTCTTATGTTCCTACAAATTGCCGAGGCGGGTGGATCACGAGGTCAAGAGATCGAGACCATCCTGGTTGATATGGTGAAACCCCATCTCTACTAAAAATACAAAAAATTAGCTGGGCATGGTGGTGTGTGCCTGTAATCCCAGCTACTCAGGAGGCTGAGGCAGGAGAATTGCCTGAACCCAGGAGGCGGAGGTTGCGGTGAGCCGAGATCGCACCATTGCACTCCAGCCTGGGTAACAAGAGCGAAACTCTGTCTCAAAAAAAAAAAATTTGCTGATATTGCTAAGTCTTGATTTGTCTGTTTTACATATTATTATTTACTCTGTATTATGTTGTGAAGCTTTTCTCTAATCATTCCCTTTCTCTCCCTTCCTTCTTAACATATTTACAGCACATTTTCATATTTATAGCCTACATTCAGGGCTTACATTATTATGGCTATGTAAATATTATTTAGTACTGAGCCAAATAAGTACTATACTTACATCTAGTTTATTATACAATGTTTTCCCCAGAAGTTAATAACTGTCTTCTTTTTTCCCTGTGCTTAGTGTTCTGTGAACCTATCACTAATTTTCCTTGCATTTTCTGACAGCTGTGTAAATGCTTCTCACACAGTTTCCCCCAAGTTAGAGATATTAAATAATCTAGAATTCTCCCACCTGACCCCTACTCCCAGCTTGGAGGCTTTCCTCCTAGAGTTCTCCAAACTCCCACAGTCTGCCTTGGTTGCTCTTCAGGCTCATTGAACAGTTGTTTGGGGGTTCCTCTCCCATGTTATTCTGGGGTTTGTTTTCCACTCTCTCCTGGATTCCAATTTTGTTTTATTTGTCTTAGTGCATTTGTGTTGCTATAGAGGAATACCTGAGGCTGGGTGATTTATAAAGAAAAGACGTTTATTTGGTCCACAGTTCTGCAAGCTGTACAAGAAGCATGGTGCCAGCATCTGCTTCTGTTGAGGACCTCAGGAAGCTTCCAATCACGGTGGAAGATGAAGGGGAGCAGGCATCACATGGCAAGAGGGAGAGCGAGCAAGAGGAAGGAGGTGCTAGACTGTTTGCAACAACCAGTTTTCATGAGAACTAAGAGCGAGAACTCACTCATTCCTGCGAGAATGGCAACAAGCCATTCATGAGGGATCTACCTCCACAACCCATACCTCCCACCAGGCCCTACCTCTACCACTGGGGATCAGCTTTCAACATGACATTTGGAGGTTCCAATATCCACATCATAGCACTTTGTTAGCTGATAAAACATTTTAGGGAAACACGACTCCAGTTAGTCTTGAGAAAGGGGGCATGAGAGGTATGTTTCCTTAGTCTGTGTTTTTCTGAACATTCATTGTTCTACTTTCATACTTGATTAAGAGCTTGTCTTGGTATAGATGTAGACTGAACATGTGTTTTTTTCAGAATATCACTTGCTATATTGTCGTCTGGCCTCAGTGTTTTTATAAGAGGCATGATGCCATTTTTATTCCTTGTCCTCGGTGACAGGTTTTCTTTTCTGCCAACTTGCAGTCTATCCTATTTCCCATATTCTGAAATTTCATAATATTTGCTTGGCTAGTTTTTTTGGTTGTTGTTTTAAATACACGATGCTAGGCCTTCTCTGGAAACTCATGTCTTTCAGTTCTGGGAAATTAAACCACTTATTTGATTATTTCCAACCCCCCAGTTCTCTCCATTTTCCCTTCTTGAAATTTCAGATGTTGAATACATTGGCTAATTTTCTTTTTCTTCATTCCCATCTTTTTCTTTGACCTTTTGAGGAGAGTTACTCAACCTTATCTTCCAAGTGTTCTATTGAATATTTTTTATCTTGGCCAATTTCCCCAATTTCTTTTTTCACTCTGATTATACTTTTTCATTGCATCTTATTCTTGTTTCATGTATGTAATACTTTCTCAAAATTTTCTGATAATAATGAGTATAGTGTTGTTTGTTTGTTTTTGTTGTTTATTTTTCTGCTCCCTCTATTGTTTCTGTCTTCTTAGCCCTGAAAAAAAAAAGTTTGTTTAGTTCTCTTTTTTCATAGTTGAGGTCTTCTTTAAGTGTCTGGTGATCCTTAAATGTTTATTAATGATTAAGAAGTGGTGCACCAGAAACCTAAGAGAAGACTCTATGGCTTGCCCCTCAGTAAGCATTGTCAGGAGATAAGTGGGCTTACTCGATGAAGAGCGTTTCAGATGGAGTCTCTGTGGATCTTGTCCATATGGCCAGTCAATCTTTTTGGAGAATTATGCTTTATTTTCATGCCCGGAGGGTATACAGCTGGGCACTCATGTTCTGGAAGCAGAGACAGAAGGCACTCAGAAGGCAGACCTCCACCTAGAGCCTTGCTTCAGCCTCATACGCTGTTGTTAGCAGAAGGTGAAGGCTGGTTGAAAGTCTCTAAAGAAGACACGTTTACCTGCCTGGAAAGGATGAAGCAGGGGATGGGTTGGGAGAGACCAGAGGGAAAGAGCTAGCATTTGGTGAACTGGGGTAGAGTGAGGGAAGAATCAGATACATGCTGTGTACAAATATGATCTTTCAGTCAGTAGCTCTGCTCCAAGCCCAGGCCTCCCCCAGCTTCTGTGGAATCTGCAGTGTGCAGATGTCCAGTCCGTCAAGGGTTCTTTGGGTGACCTTGTGTGAATCTTCTATTACAGCCTCTTCTCTGTGGATTACTCTGCTGAGGTAACTGCCATTTCCCCATCCCTTTGACCCCTCCAAAAATCTGACATTTCTTACCCACGACTGTTACCTCTCTGGTTCTTGCTGACTTGTGGGTTTACATCTTTTTAATTCTTTTATTGTCATTTCAGTTAGGATTCAGGCGAGAGAAGAGATAAACGTATATACTCTATTTACCATATCTGACCTAAAGTCTCCTGTTTTTTACATGGCTTTCTGAAGTTACACATAGAAGCCCAGGCATAGAGAACATCAGGTAAATAAGAATTCCTTTAAGTCTCGGAGGCTGCTTCAAACGGAGAAGACTCACCTGGCTGTGGGGTCTCCTGGCCTTTGAGAATGCTCCTTTATACACTGGCTTGGTGGCCCCAGGGCCGGAGGCACCTCAGGGCATTTTCTCCTCTTGAGCAGCTGCTGAAGCATCAGGCACAGGAGCGTGGGAGACAGACCTCTGGGATGGCTTTCGTGTACTTAATTGAGGTCTGAAGCAGTATTGTTTCTTATTTAACCACAATGCTCAGATTCACTCCAGACTACCCCATCACATTTATTAAACGGAAAAATAAGTGAAGAAACAATCTTGGGGTTATGTTTCATGGAAAGCCTGTCAAACAAGAAAGTCTTTTCCTCTTTATCTGCCTGTTTGACTTGAAAGCGGACTGTTAGCAGTTAATATTTTTCAAGTTTTCAGAAGTGTCCTGTAGAGAACTGGACAGGAGCAATGCTTATTAAAGGAACATGATAAATATAAACAACAGCAAATGACTTTGCCATCAAGAAAAGTGCCGAGCAAAAAATACTGTAAGACCAAAACAATCATAATAACCCCTCCTCTAAAGAAACAAAACAAAAACCATCATAGATAAAATCCCTTCTCTTTCTCTCTCTCTCTCTCTCTCTCTCTCTCTCTCTCTCACACACACACACACACACACACGCACACGGGAAGACAATCTTGCTTGTGAGCAGCTGAATTTTGAAAATCCTTAAGAGATTTATTAGAAATTGATCTGTAACTGCAATTTATTTTTTTATCACTGCAATATTCATTAAATGTCATTGTGTAATGACATTGTATAATGCATCAGCTGTGGAGTAGAAACAGGCCTTTCATTTCTTTTTAGGCCGAGCTTGGCAAGAATTTAGATGCTATCAGAAATATGAAAGTTTCTGTTGCAGCTGAATTGCGTCCTATACCTTCACCCCAACCCAATCTGAACAGTGGCCTTATAAGAAGAGGAAACTTGGACATGGAGACACCAGGACCTGCATATATAGAAGAAGGTCCCTATACAGATACAGCAAGAAAGCAGGTATCTGCAAACCAAGGAGAAAGGCCTCAGGAGAAACCAATTTGCCTACACCTTGATCTTGAACTTTAGTCTCCACAACTGTAAGAAGATAAATTTCTGTTGTTTAAGCCCCACACAGTCTGTGATGTTTTGTTGTGGCAGCCCTCACAAATTAATATGGTTCATTTTCCACCATATTTGATTTGGAATTTGGATATAACAAAGAAGATCATAAAAATAGTAAGAATGAGATGCTTCTAAAAACCAACTTTTGCTAACAGTTGAAAAATCAGATATTAGGTCATCGTTGAGAAAAATGACACATACGGAATCACATTTGCCCCATCACCTGTGAGCTGAAGGTTTAAGGTACTGAGTTGAGCTGAGGCTGGGCTTGCAGAGTCAGAACTTGGAGCCTCAGACTCTCTGTCCCCTTAGGGCTTGTCCTCAGTCTGTTGCCTCTGAATCTGGCAGGGGGAGGACCCTGAAATAGAAGGTCTTAAATGGGAAGGGAAGAGTAGATTGAGGGGTTTTCCTGGTGGCAGGTGTCCCTGATGGGAAGTGAATCGGGTTCATTCTGCCTTCTCGAACACCACTCAGCATGGACAGCAGCAGCCTGGGTTGTGGAATGCTGCAAGGGACAGCTGGAGAAATGTCTCGCTCATACAGAATATGCTTAATGGGCAGAGTGCCCTGGAGTCACCTGGGCCATCTTATTTCTCTCATTCAGGCTGAAGAAGAGAGGAAAAAGTATGGCATTCACGTAACTAGATACTCAAAGTGCTTGTACTGGGCTAGTAACTTGGCTGAGGAAACAGCTGGGCACTGGCCTATTTGTAGCCCCATGCCTAGAGGTTGCAGGTTGTCACAATTTGCCAGAAGCCAGCAAGAAAAGCCAGGGCATCATGTTTAGCCTGTACTCACCATCAGGAAATGCGTCACCCTTTCTGTGAGTGCAATGCTCATGCTGACCAAGGTCCTAGATCCAAACAGTGAACCACTAAAATGAGTAAAATTGAGAGAGAGTTACAAAGACAGAAACAGAGAGGAAAGGAGGGAAGGGGAAAGGGAGAAAAAGGGAGAGATGGAGATTTAGAGAGAAATAGGGAGAGACACAGGGAAAGCACACAGAGGAGGAGACAGAGACCAAACAGAGAGAACCAGACAGCCTGGGGGAAAGCAAGTCCCCATGCCCCGGCTGCCCACTCTAGATCTGCTCACCCACCCACTCTAGATCTGCTCTCATCCCCACCTCTTAGCCTGTTTAACCCGTTGGAGCATCAAGGCTTAAGGAAGCCCATGGAGGCTTGTAAATGTGATATGGTTTCTAATGGATACCCTGTGAATTCCCTGAAGTGGAACAAAAAAGCTTGTGGGAACCAAGTTAATATTTCTAGGTTTTATTTAAATAGGGGGTTATGCCTGGGATTCAGTCCCATGAGCTGGACATCTCATCCAGGTGAGAGAGTCAAATCAAGAACCCGATCCTGGGGATGGCCCACAAGATTCGGGGCAAGGCGTGTTCATTCTTCCTAAATGAGTCTTTATTGCAAGAGCACTGCTTTCTCTCTGGTGCTTGTTAAATACTGTATTTATGCTGTGTATTTGTATACAGTGGGATTAAGGGACCAAACTGAATTACTGATGATGGTTGCTTGAAGGGGTGTTTGATAGGAGATTTACACAGTGTTCTTAATAATCTTTTTTATTTATTTATGGAATGTTATCATTCCAAACGTACAGTTCTGCCATCCCTTAGGAAAGATGCTTTCTATTTGAGGGCCACCAGCTCTGCATGTTGATTTGAAAAGAGATAAAAGAGCATCTGGCCACCACAGCACAGGCTGACTTCCCTCCCTCTTCATTATGCAGAGAGCTGATGCATTTTTTGCTTCTTTCCTATTTATACAAATAAAGACCACGATTTGGGAAATATGTCATGCTGGCATTAAACACCACCAATCTTGCTGGGTTGAAATGTACACGTTCCATTAACAACAATTATATTGTATAATTAAGGTTTTGGTCCCCAAAGTCTGACTCGGAAGCTTCCTCAAATATGGATGGGTTTATGGAAGATGTTAAAATAAATATACCCCTCCCGTCACCCTCCTCCACCTCCCCATTCCTCGCCCTGCTTCCAAAAGCACCACCAGTACCTGAGTCAATGACTTGGTCTGCAGTAAAAGTGGGGTTCAAGTGCCCTCTAGAGTAGCTGTGACTATGTGGCTATAAAAATTGAAAAGCTTTGAAAAGGCAGACAAATGACTGCAAGCAGAATCATCGAACATTCCTGTACATTTGATGGGGTTCCTGTATATGAGTTCCACATGATCAACACTGGGTGCAGGCAGGTGATTTGGAGCCCTCAGGATGAGGCTGGCCATGTAATCTTGCTATAATGCTGCTCTCCATCATACTTTTGTGGACTTCTCAGTTTCAGTTTAGGTGGAAATTTCCCAAGGCGTATGCAATCTTGGCACACACACATGTAAACCATCACAGGGAAAAGGCTAATGAGGTTCAAGTCCTTGCACCTGGGAGTGTCTCTGGACCCTTACTCCCCCCACTGCCAGCCCCCACCACAGTCTTGGCACGTTTCACTCTTCCAGCAGCTGGAGAGAGCTCTGACCTGTGTCTCATCAGTGAATGCTGGTGGTGGTGACAATAATGAATTTCTAATGGCAATTAACACAGTGACAGGGTTTATAAATTATAGATTATGACAACACTCCCTGCGATCTGGTTTTTTCCTTTGAAGACCACCTGGCTATCAATAATGGTCTCACCAGCCAAATCCTGCCTTTGTGGGTCAAGACAGAAGAAGAACAACCATTAAAAAAAGCTGGAAATCTTAGAGCGGACTCACATCTTAACTAGGAGAATAAGTGTTGGCCCAAGTGCCCCAGGACTGAAGCAAATCAGACATAGAGAAAGAGGGAGAATATTAGAATGAGGCACACCTGATTCAGCTGCTAAATAGTCTGGATAGTTAAGAATCAGAATCAAGGCATTCTTCTTTTCTAGTTCTCTTTGGTGAGGATCTGTGAGCATCCAAATGATTTGAAGAGCAATATGGTTAATCTGCCCTTCTTCGTGAGTACATACATTCTGAAAAAAAGTTGTGGTTGGGAAAGATGGGGATCCATCATTCCAAGACAGGACAGGTAGTGTGTGGGTGCATTGATGCGCTTCCTTGCTCAAGGTGAAATTGGGTAGATTTTCTTCCAGAATTGAATGATGGTGGAGACGTGATTCCTGGGTAGGCCTACACACATAACGCACAATTCTGTATTTAGTTACTCTTTAGAATCCCTAGGAGAAAATTGGCTCAGGATGGAAAAGGAAGTATGTTGAAAATTTTGGTAGACTTCCTAGAAATCTGGAAGCATGAGCAATTTCTGGAGGTGAAAATGTTAATGGGATTGAACAGATAATAAACTCATACTAATACTAAAGTGAACAGGGCAAGATGGATTATTTTGGGAGATTTCTGTGGCAGAAACTATTGGCTACTTAAATCACCCAGTCCCTTCTTCCTTCTTAGTAGAGTACAGAATTTGTTTAGAAACTGGGTTTGTGGGAGCTTCGGAGAGCCCTCCTTGGCCCTAGAGGCAAGTGTTGATTGTGGTAAGACAGTTGTGGGATGTGTATGGGAAGCCTTTAGGAAATGTTTCTCTTGAAATCCATAAAGGGAAGCCTGGGAGGAATACTTCCTCTTTACTGGATGTGGCTTCTGCATGTACCATCTGGAATTGCTATAGCCAGCTTACAAATATAGACAAAAGCTTTATCAACCTGCTGAGCACAGCAGAATGGAAAGATGCAAACACCCTGCTCTTGGGAACCAGCCACCTTCAGACTTCTTGCTATATCAGGTAACACAATTCTCTCATTGTTTAAGACACTTTTAGTTGGGGTTTCTGTTACTTGCAATTGAAAGTATCTTATATAACCACTGTTTGGAACAGTGCATAAGAATGTTGTCTTTGGAAAATCAACACCATCAGAAGACAGGTGCCGATAAAGCAATTAAATACAATGAGAAGGTCTTTAAGATCCTGGTTAATTCTGACATGTCTGTGCTCTAATCCTTGGATCTTTGTCATGGAAGAAAACAGAACAACAAAAACTGGGCTAAACTTTTGCTGAACCCACCTTGGGCAGTGTGGTAAAATGTTCTGTTTGTGTGATTCACATACTTGTGAAATTTGGACTTGTATTTCTTACTTTCCAAAGCAGAGAGTGAAACAGATCTCTCCGTAAGCAAACCAATAATTGTAATTGACAAGAAGAACATAAATTGTTTCCAATTGATGACTGAGTAATCACATCCTATTTAAGAACATTCATCCAAATGTCATCTTGAGCCAAGGTATAAGAATATGCTATGTACCATGGAGTTGATAATGTGTTTTTTGACTACCAATCATAAATAAGTAGGTTTTTTCTCCTGAAAGACTTAGGCTAAGCTTTGTAAGAGTGTACTTTATGAATATATTTATTAGGCAATGCTTGTCATTAATTGATACAATGTTTACAAATAAATACTCTTTAATTTACTTCAACATTGACAGTCTTGGTAAGGAAGAACAAATAATGTAGTCTATGTATAGATACAAATAACATTTACTTTTGTAATAAAGTAAAATTTAGGGAAGATTAATTAGATGCATATTTATGTATAGGTGTATTGGTTGCAAGTAACAAGCAGTTCACAGAAAGCAACAATAATTGTAGGGAGACCTTATTCTCAGATTTTCCAAGTCTATTTCAATTTCAAACATTATTTACTACTGTGAGAACAATGTGTATTTTTTTTTTTTTGGTTTGGGAAATATCATCTTTCAGAAGACATATTTTGCATTAACTCTGCAGCAAGTACTCAAATTGTGTGTGGAGCGGGGGAAAGGAGCAAAAGGTAGATGTAGGGGAAGCTTCCCAGAGCCCCTGGCTCCATAACCTGGAGAGAGCTGCCCCACATGGGCTTTTCCAGCACCCCGCAGGGGCTACCTGCTTCCTGGGGGCAGTGGCAATGAACTCTTCTGCTGATTCTCCTCTGCATCACTAGTCTTCACCTTCTACTTCTGAGAAAAGGTTGCAAGGTAAGCTCACCTTCCTCACTGATTTCTGCCCACCCAAAACTTGGGCTACACCAGTCAAATATTGTTCTCTGAGTGTGATCAGTGCATGGGAGGAAATACTGGCAGAAATAAGTTTGCAGGGAGCTCTTGAAGCAGATAACTTGAAGTATAGCCCAAAGAATTGTATTGGGATAGGTTCTCACTTCCATCTTGACTAGAAGGTAGAGGGAAAGGGGAGACATTTCACATTGAGAAGATGACATTTAACTTTAGGGAGAAATATCCAGAGAAGTAATGCTTTTATAGGCAGACAGAGGTAGGTTTGAATACAGGTCTGATATTTGTTGTGTGACCTTGAACTTGAACATTGTTGAAATCTCATGATGCTCATGCAGGGCGTGGTCATCAGGATTGGCATGATAGCATATGAGGAACTTGGCATAGCACCTGGTTCACTGTCAATATCCAGTAACTCCTGGAAAAGAAATCAAGGCAATGAGTTAAATAACATGCTCTGTAAGTGACATCTAAAAGTGACATGAAAATATGCCTGTAAAAAGACATCAGTATAAGAAAAAGCTGTGTTCTGACAAAATGCAACTTGAAACCTATTGTATAATAGATTGAATTACAGGAACTCAGCAAATCCAAGGATCTAATTGTCATACGAAGAGATTAGGCTTTTCCTTCTGTGATGTGCTCTGAATTAGGAAGTTTCATTGATTATATTCTTAAGAAAATAGCTTTTTGAAGCCCCATTTAAGAATTTAGTAGCAACATTATTGAGTTAGTGTCTTCTTCCCTTTTGGTGTTTTGGGGTGAACTACAAATCTTGTCAGGAGTCTCTCAAATAAAAAGTGTTTTTAGATGTTAAATTGGAGGCCTTTCCAGGCAAGGATGCCAATTTTCTTACAGCAACCATGCAGAAACCAGGTTGTCCTCCACCCTTTCTGCAATTTTCTCTTTGGTCTAAGGTAGCTCTGTGGAATTATGTTTTTCTGTATGATTATTTCCCTGGCACTGATGAAGTTTATACATATTTTAAGTTGTTTTTGTTTTTTTTTCTGCAAGACTGAATCATTTCAGGAAAACAGGGTGCTTTAAATGAATAACTGAAGTTGTCTTTCGGGTTGTCTTTGTTGGTTCTTAAGGAACCCACAGAATGGAAAGTTGAAAATGGTAGGGTTAGCACTTATATCGCTGAAGCAGGGATGACAAACACTGTGTGCTGATGGCTGACCAGACCAGTGACAGTTGTGAAATGTAGAGCATAACTCTGGACTGAAGGCTGAAATTGCCTCTGAGACACCAGCAAGACCAAGGATGGAGCCAAAGGAGATTGATGGAGAGCGGCCCCACCATTGTCAATGCTGGCATCTGAGCCCATCACAACCTCTATCAAAATGGGTGGGCTGAAATGTGAACTTTCTAGTACTCCAGCTGTTCCTGAGATTCCTAGAACAGGGAAACTTCCTGGTTGGCCATCTGGAGGCATATTTTGTGTCTAACTTATGAGCAAGGGATTAAAAAAAAAAAGCAAGGAGCATCAGAATTTGGCCACTAACCCAGACTCATGACTCACAGTGTTGCCTATTTGGAAGTCATGCCTGCTATTCCCTGACCTTATTCATTTTTTTAGTGACATTTGATTTTTGAATTAGGGCCACTTATTTTCAAATTTCCAAAGGTGGTAGATACTACTGGGGGAAGAACACCTCAAATGCATTTTTAAGTATAAATGAGCAGTGAGTGTAAGGTAGAAGAAATCAACCAGCAAAATTATATTTTGTAACAGTTATAAAATGCAAATTAATTCAACCATTGTGGAAGACAATGTGGCGATTCCTCAAGGACCTAGAAATAGAAATTCCATTTGACCTAGCAGTCCCATTACTGGGTATATATCCAAAGGATTATAAATCATTCTATTATGAAGACACATGCACATGTATGTTCATTGCAGCACTGTTTACAATAGCAAAGACCTAAAACCAACCCAAATGCCCATCGATGATAGACTGGACAAGGAAAATTTGACACACATACCATGAAATACTTTGCAGCCATAAAAACCGATTAGTTCTTGTCCTTCATAGGGACATGGATGAATCTGGAAACCATCATTCTCAGCAAACTGACACAAGAACGGAAAATCAAACACTGCATGTTCTCACTCATAGGCAGGTGTTGAACAATGACAACTCATGGACACAGGGAGGGGAGCATCACACACTGGGTCTGTTATGGAGGACTAGGGGAGGGACAGCAGGGGGTAGGGAGGTTGGGGAGAAATGCCAGATATAGGTGACGGGGGGGATGGAGGCAGCAAACCACATTGCCATGTATGTACCTATGCAACAATCCTGTATGATCTCCACATGTACCCCAGAACCTAAAGTACAATAATATATATATATGTATCCCTATAGATAATAACTGTAGTGAAATGATTAGTACTTGTCCTCCTGTGACCTTTAGTGACACCTCCAGCAGCTCAGTGGTCAGTCGTAGGCTGCAACTTCTTCAGATTAAAAAATGCACCATCCTGAGGGACCAGAGTCACCTCTACAGTAGCCACCCTGTTCTTTTTTTTTTTTTTTTGAGGAACTTTTTTTTTTTTTTTTTTTGGGAAAAAGAGAAAAAGAAGGGGAAAAAAAGAAAAAGAGGGAAAAAGGAATATTACTTCATTCCTAAGATGGGTTTCAGTAATGGCCGATCAATATTTTGAGTGTTTAAAGTGGTTAATGCATATTTTATGTGTTTAAAATGGAGAACTCTATTGTGTTTATTTGTTCTGACTCTGAGTTCAAGTCCTGGATATCATTATCAATTTTTTGTCTCGTTGAATCTAAATCTCATTATGTGTCTTATGTATCTGGGTGTTAAGATCTCTTATTGTTACATTAATCCTTTTACCCTTGCATCCTTGGAGCTTTGAGATCTATTTTATTAAGTGTGAGAATTGCAACTCCTGCTTTTTATTTATTTATTTTTGCTCTCCATTTGGTTGGTGAGTTTTTTTCCATCCCCTTGTTTTGAGTCTTTGTATATCTTTAGATATATCGTTAGATTTTGTAGATAATGTATATTTTGTGTGTTTAAAATGGAGAGCTCTATTGAGTTTATTTGTTCTGGATCTTAGTTCCAGTCCCGGATATCGTTATCAATTTTCTGTCTCGTTGAATCTAAATCTCATTATGGGTCTTATGTATCTGGGTGTTAAGATCTCTTATTATTACATTAATCCTTTTACCCTTGTATCCTTGTAGCTTTGAAATCTATTTTGTCAAATGTGAAAATTGCAACTCCTGCTTTTTATTTATTTATTTTTGCTCTCCATTTGGTGGGTACGTTTTTTTTTTCCAACCCTTTATTTTGAGTCTATGTATATCTTTGGATATACCGTTAGATTTTGTCTGTATCTTTTGATTGGGAGATTTGGTCGACTTAAATTTAGGGTTGCTGCCATTTGATATTAACTGGCTATTTTGTCCTTTCGTTGATGAAAATTCTTCTTTATGTTAATGCTCTTTACTTTTTGGTGTATTTTTAGAAAGGGTCATACTGGTTGTTCCTTTCTGTGTATAATGCTTCTTTTAGAAGTTCTTGTAAAGCAGGCCTGGTGGTAATAAAATCTCTGAATACTTGCTTGTTCCTAAAAGATTTTATTTTTCCTTCAAATGTAATACTTAGATTGGCAGGATATGAAATTCTGGGCTGAAAGTTCTGTTGATTAAGTATATTGAATATTGGCCCGCACTCTCTTCTAGCTTGTAGGGTTTCCGTTGAGAGATCTGCTGTAAGCCGAATAGGCTTACCTTTATGGGTAACTTGATCTTTCTCTCTGGCTGCCCTTAATATTTTCTCCTTCATTTCGATCTTGGTAAATCTAACGATTATGTGCCTTGGGGTTGGTCTTCTTGAGGAATATCTTTGTGGTGTTCTCTGTATTGCCTGGGGTTGAATAGTGTCCTGCTTTGCTAAATTAGGAAAATTTTCCTGGATAATGTCCTGGAGAGTATTTTCCAGCTTGAATTCATTCTCTCCGTCACATTCAGGTACACCAATCAAGCGTATATTAGGTCTTTTCACATAGTCCCATATTGCTTGGAGACTTTGCTCATTCCTTTTTATCCTTTTTTCTCTATTCTTGTCTTGTCATTTTGTTTCATTAAGTTGGTCTTCGACCTCTGATATCCTTTCTTTTGCTTGATCCATTCGGCTGTTTAAGCTTGTACATATTTCACTAAATTCTCGTGTTGTATTTTTCAACTCCATAAGTTCATTTGTATTCCTCTCTATATTGTCTATTCTTTTCAACATTTCATCTAACCTTTTTTCCAAGTTCTTAGTTTCTTTACATTGGGTTAGAACAAGTTCCTTTAACTCCCAGAAGTTTCTTATCATCCACCTTTTAAAGCCAACTTCAGATAATGGAACACAGTCCTTTTCCATCAGGGCTTGTTCGGTTGCTGATGAGTCCTTTTCCATCAGGGCTTGTTCCGTTGCTGATGGGTTCTGATTTTGAGTATACTCAGCCTTCTTAGGCTGTTTTTTTCCCTTCATTATAGATGAACCGCCTTTCTAATTAGGTTTCTGAGTCGACGTCAAACTTATTGATTCCCAGTGCTGGGATCCGAGCAACCCACTGTGGCAGCCTAAATAGCAGCGATAAGACTGATGGTGCTCTTCTGCCCGGGAATCTCTGGTCTGGCTTCCCTCTTGAGTCCGCAACAAGCGGCTCTGATTTCCCGGAGCTCCAAACTCCGGTCGGTAGGGGAAGCAGTCCCGTTGGCTCTGTATGAAGAGCTGCTGCGAAGAGACGCCGGCAAAACCACTGCGGCGGCCACAAGAGTTGCGCTGGTGACACATGGGTCTCCTCCACTGGGAATCGGCTGATCAGTGAGTGACAAAAATTTGTCTAAAGATGTGGCGTCGTCTCGTTCTCTGACTTTCACTGGGAGCTACAATCCCGAGCTGTTAGTAGTCGGCCATCTGCCACCCTGTTCTTAAGGTTCTTAGCATATTTTATCTGGGATTAAGAACCAACTATAAGGTCTTTTAGGCTGACTGATGTTGCCATGGATGCTATGGCAATCCCTGTGACCCACACACACACCTCTAGAGGGCCTTCTGGAATTAGAAAACCTGAAGAAACTGGAAGACCACGAAAAGTGGAAGAATGATAAACTTCTGCGGTGCCTAATTAACTTTGAGACATTCTCTATTGTTCCTTATTCCTGCCCCAATTGATAAGGCAATTGGACTTTGTAACTGACCTTGGTTAACTTCATGGTTCCAGACCCTACAACCCCCTCCCAGCTTGCAAAAACTGCCCAAAACTGTAAAACCAATTCCTATCCCACCATCCTCCACTGACTCTCTTTTCTGACTCAGCCTGCCTGCACCCAGGTGAATAAATAGCCATGTTGCTCACACAAAGCCTGTTTGGGGTGGGGGGGTCTCTTCATTCAGAGTGCACGTTTTAACACCAACTAGTGTCTTTAACTTGATAGTGGGGTGAGGTGGGGCTGACACATGCAGGTGAGCTCAGGTACAACCTGCAAAATCGAGAAACAAAAGGGCAAAGAGCTTTTTTAGACTGGAGCTTCATCTGCTGCCCAAGCTGTTGCCATTTTCTGGTGTGCATGGAAGCAACTGTTCCACTGGTGATAAACGCTTGAAATCACATTATTCTAATGCCATCCTTTAAGAGTTTTGAACCCATTCAAATGTTTGCAAATACTTGAAACTTTCATCTCTATATGTGTTCCTAATTTTCTATTCCAAATAGCATGTCAAACATTTCTTGGTGTTGCTTAATGTGACTGAAGAGAATATTAATGTTGTTAAGGACTTAGCGCAAAGGTAATCTCACTTTGTTTTCTTATAATGAGGGTAAGGTTAAATGACAATCTGAGGCTACTATTAATTTCCTCTTTTAGTGAATACACATGAAGCCCCTTTTGTGTTCCAAATATTGTTCTGGGGGCTACAGATAAAAATAGAAGAACAATAGATAGGGCACGGTCTCCCTTTAAGGAGCTCACAGTTTGGAAGGGGAGTGGACCTAACATCAAACAGTGACAATTGATTGTGGCATGTGGACAAAGGAGACGGGCACAAGGTGGTGACAAAGGGCTGGTGGGAGGACCCTGAATCCCAGCTCAGTACTGTTGCTGCTAAAAGGGTACTTACAAGTTCTCAGAAAAAAAGAACACTTGTTGTTATTGAGTCTTCACGGTTTAAATAACTTAATCAATGCGGAGTTATTTATATTATTCTCATATACTGTTAGTTTCAAGCATTTATAAACAATCATTAATCTGCCTACCAAAGTTCAAAAATAACTTTATATCCATACACGCTTTTTAGTTCCCAATGGACTGACTTTCTCATGCATTTTCTCATCAAAATCCAAAAACCTATGATGCCGGAGGAAAGGGCTTAATTAACATTATCCCCATTTTTCAGATGAGAAAGCTGAGGTGCCGAATAGTGAAGGAACTAGCTCTAAGTCATAAAGCTAATTAATTGGCAGATTGAGCCATGTGCATTGAGGTCTTTCTAATTGCTTGGACCATGTGTGCGTGAGTAGATTCCAATGCTGAGAAGACTCATTCCTTGAATGAGTGTCATTCAGTGGGGGTTTCACATGGGGGTTTAATGGGAATACTGGTTGGTTGTTCCCTCATTTTGGAGACTCTGGCTCTTTGAATCCTGCACTATGTCACTCTGCACATTTCTTGTATACTTTTGATTATTCTTTCTCTGTCTCCCTGCCTGGTAAGTGCTGGTGTCCCATAGGGCTGACCCTGTTATGTGTTTCTCTCTCTCACACACATGCTGGACAATCATGTACATTTTCAGGGCATTGGTACCATGTCCCAAGTTGAAATTTTCTAACTCTGTCCTCTCTCCAAACATCAGACAAATACACCAACTGCCTGCAGGATGTCTCCCATGGATCCCCAGAAGTACTCTACTTCTGAGTGATATGTCCTTCCACTCGATAGTGGAACCTTCACTGTTATTCTTAATTCACTTGACATCAGCCTCATCCACCCAGACACCCAGACTCAAAAGCCACATGTTTCTTCTCCCCTCCATGTCACATCTAACTAGATCATCACATCTTCATTCGGTCCTCCAAATATATTTTTTGAATCTATTTGTTTCCTCTTTCTCATTCCTGTTGCCACTGTCCTATGTATTTGATTGGGTCCTCCAGTATGTCTGTGGGTTTCTTGAGAGCATATTGAGGAAAGGGGCAAGTGATATATTCATTCAAGCATTCACTTACTAATTAACTTCACAAAAATTTGAGACAGATCTCACAGCTACTGAGAAAAATTGGGTTGATCCTTTTGGGAAAATCGAACTTGACCTGGAAACCTTACTCTTTTCTCATCCCATCTAGATTAGTTAACTCTGTATTATGTAGCTCTTAGGCCTTAACAGTTTCACACTGGACATCTAGCTGTCATCTAGCCAGAGAGCAAAGATTAAATGACAGTTTTTATCAATCATTCCAAAAGTAACCTCTCTCAAAACTACCACATA